AAAAAAAATCTAAATAAAAAATGGGAGAAAAATAATTTTCTGAAGAGATGATTGATTAATTTCTAAGGGACGTACCATAACTGAGACACAACATGTGAATTAGTTTCCCAAAGAAATGATGATAATCAACATTTCTTATACGGATGAATTTCAATTTTGTTGACGCATATGTGTTGTCTTTATTTGCGTAAAACATATTATTATGTATATATGACACCGCTGCAATATCTGATTACAATGATAATCGTGATCTTGAAGAGAAAATGATAATTATATGTTTCAAGTTTCAATTAGAAGCGTCTGACGACATTTTTTGCTGTTTTTCTCTTCTATAGTAAGAGTAAAAGTTAAACTAAGACATACACTAACAGAAAGATAGATAAAACAAAGAAGCTACTTATTCTTTGAATTAGTTGATTCTATATTCTAATTGTAGACATTTCTATTCCCATCATATTTCGATTAAATCTCACAAAAAGAATGAGCAATTCTTTTTTTTTTCTAGAATACACATTTTAACCTCTTCGAAAGACATAGATAATGAGCTGTTAACTTTTCGTTTTTAGTTAAATGATGCATACTCTGAAAACTTTTTTTCTCAATCTTAATTTCTTTCAATCATCTAATCCTAGTAATCAATCAGATGAACATGAACATCGTTCAAATATTATCGCTACTCGTATTTATATTATTATCTATGATATAAGTCTTTTTACTCTTATTCTTTCTTTATGGTTAAGTCCAAATATAGGTCAAGTCACTGTTCAATATCCGACTCAAAATCAATTTCAAACATTATCTCTTGATGCCCAATGTCCATGTTCTCGAATCTCTTTATCTTATGGTCAGTTTGTATCCATTCAAACAAGGTTTCATCAAGTTTGTTCAAGTGATTTTGTTTCTAATCGATGGATTAAAGCCATATTTTATGATTCTGATGCAACATATTTTTATCGAGCAGACTTTCGAACCATTGGTAGTGCTCAGTTTCGTGCTCTGGCAAGTCTTTGTGATTTAACAAAAACAAGTATTAGTCGGAGTCTTGCGTCTTTTAATATGAAATCAATAATCAGTCCATATGTTTTATCTCGATCAGTTATTCAATCAGAAGCACAAACTTCTATCGAATAATTTCGATTAATAACATCTGATACATTCGTAAAACAATTAGAATTTGTTCAAAAAATGATTATCGGTAATCAACTTCTTTCAGCTTTAGAAACAAATATTATTCCTTTGTATGCTCAAATTTTTAATGGATCTCTGCAATTAGGACATTATATGGTTTATAATATTTCCAATGATTCCTATTGTGATTGTCAAATCAATGTTAACTGTCGAGTACATTCAGGTATTTTCAAGGAATTGGAACAATCTTTGGTTAATATGGTTTTTGGTAACACCCGACTGATGCTAATGAAAATTGATGGATTTTCAGCTGGTTGTATGCCAATGGATTCAATACTTCAATCGACTCTTCAATGTTTTTATAATCAGACATGTTTGAACGAACTTCTGTCATTTTTATCTACGAATGAAAGTTTTACAGCTATGAATATTTCTAAGTATAGTCGTTTCAAACCAAGTTCTATTGTAAAAGAAATAGTCAATGAATTAATGGTTGAAGAATGGATAACAAATATATCATATGAAAAATATTATACTCAATGTGCACCTGTTCGATGTACTTATTCAAAAGTAGAAAAACATGATATGGTAAATGTATTGACAACAGTCATTACTTTTCATGGTGGATTAACATTAGTATTGAAACTTATTATTGCACATGTTGTTCGATTTATACGTCGGAAAAAAGATAATGAACCAAGTTCGCGAATATCTTGTACGTATTATGCAGTTTAGAATTTATTTAACTACAATAGACTCATAATTTGATAAATTCCTATTCAAAACAGTGAGATCGTAGTGTGTACAATATCAAATATCTCTATAAATAGCATCTTTGATCTTTCGGTATTGTCATGATTTTCCGTATTTTTATTTAGAAATTTTTATGTTCATAAGAAGATAAAAACAGCCCTGCTATATGTTGTATTTTATATTCTAACACAATTATTTTTTCAAACTTTTAGTGCATATTCGAATTCGTCAATTTCAAACATGTATCAAACGTTTCCTACTCCAACTAAACCTCTTCGAACATCATTCTAGTAATGCTCGCCAAATACATTATCAATACATTGCTACTCGATTGTATATATTAATTTTCTTAATTTTACTCACAATACTAACTTCTTATATATTAGCAACCAAAGAAATCTATCAAGAAACTATACATCATCCAACTGAAGAGCAATATAACAAACTTCAAAAGATTTATCCAAATAGTCTCTCATGTTCTTGTAGTATTATTTCTGTTCCATACAAATCTTTCCTTGAAATTGAACCTTTTTATCATCATGTATGTTCCAGTGATATGGTTTCCCAACGTTGGATCGATTATTACAATAATTTTAAATTATATTTTATCACTTCAGATCTTGATTTTCGAGCTAATGCTGGTCATCAATTTCAGATTCTAGCCACTTTATGTGAACAAGCTCAACAAACAGTAAATAGTGCTCTTCAAGTATTTCTTCAAAAACAATTTGTTAGTTCTCAAATCATTTCTCAAGAACTTTTTCGATCTCAAATCAACGAAAATATTGAAGAATGGAAATCAAATACTCTCAATTCATTTTTACATCCAATTCAATTAATTCGTGTTACAAATCAAGGAAATCAACTTATCAATAGTTTTCATAATTTCTATTTTCATCTAAATCAAATTTCTGGACAATTAATTCTAGTACCAACTAATTATTCAACTTATTCATGTGCAAGATCTAGTGCATATCGAACTCATATGGGTATATTCGTATACAACATGACAACCCTTGATTATGTTGAACTTTTTCGTATTCCTAACTTTTTTACTGGTTGCTTTCTAGTTGAATCTTTACTCGAATCGGGTTTAGAATGTTTTTATGATCATCAATGTATGAACATCATTGAATCTTACACGTCTAATACAACAACTAATTTTTCACTACTTGATACAACTCGTAATTCACCAAATGAAACGGTTCAATCAATTATTAATCGATTAATGATCGATGCATGGCAATCAAATATATCATTTAGTGCTTATTATAAGATGTGTGCACCATTATCTTGTACGTATGAACAAATACGTCAACATGATATTGTCTATCTAATCTCATCTATATTTGGTGTATTTGCTGGTCTGTTATTTGGAATAGAACTTCTTATTTTAATTATACTTCGTTTTATTGAAAACATGGCTAATGATTTTTCTTTAATCGAACTGAAAAGAAGATTTAAAGATTTATTTATCTGTCCCAAGAAAGAACAAATTATCAATCGATGTCATTTTATTTTACTTATAGTCATCATATTTCTCCTCTATACGGCTATATCTCTTACGCTAGTGCCTAAAGCTGAACGAGTCATTAGACCATCTTTATTCACCTATCAATATCTACTAACAAATTACCAAGACTCACTTCAATGCTCTTGTTCGCATATATCAATTGAATATCAATCATTTCTTACGATCACCTCTCGTATTCATCAAATCTGTTCAAGTGATTTTGTCTCAAACGATTGGATTGATTATATTTATAATACTATTGATCCTTTTCATTTGAATTATACTGATTTTCGAACAACAGCTACTGGTCAATATCAACTATTGGCTTCATTCTGTCAACTCTCTCGACAAGTACTTGACGATGCTTTATCGAATCTATTAACTAGTCATTTTATTGACACCGAACTGCTCTCATATAATGTATTATATGAACGAATTCAATCATCTCTCAAAGAATTTCAAATGACGATACCTAATTCATTTCTTAATTCACTTTCAGTCATTCGTCAGACAACAGGAGCAAACATGCTTTATGAATATGTTTATGACCAGTTCAAAATTTCAATACGAACCTGCATTTGCAATTTTTTCTATCTTTTATACAAGACCATTGAGTTATCAAGGATGTAATTGTGGACTATCATCGAAATGTGTTCAATCATCTAGAGGTATGATGGCTGGTTGTTATCCACTTGAAGCACTTCTTCAATCAACATTTCAATGTTTCTATAACCAAGCATGTATTGATTCAAATAACGTTTTTCAAGCTCTTAATACTTCTTCTAGCACATCAAGTCAATTCTTAACAAATTCAACTATTGAATCTATATTAAATGAATTAATGGTTGAAGATTATTCAATAAATATATCATATGAAAATTACTTTTCTAAATGTGAACCACTTTTATGCAGTTATTCGTATAGTGGACATCGTGATATCCTGGAATTAACATTGAATATTATTGGAATTTATGGTGGTTTAGTCATAATTGCAAGATTTATTGTTTTATTATTTCTCAAACTATACCGCAACAAGAACCAGAAAGTCGCTCCACAGAATGATGGAGCAGGATACTTATATAAATATTAAAAATAATTGTCCTATATGGTTACTTTGTATTAATACTTTATTACGCTACCTACGGTATTATTCTATACATTAAAGAAAAGAGAAATAAAATTGTCTAGAGTATCTACATATGTAGTTCAAAAAATTAAGAAAGAAATTTTATTTATCGAAGAATTCTTTTCTACTATTAATTTTATCTAATGTTAATGGTACTTTACAACAGATACGGTATATTTCCTTTTTTTGCCCCTTTCTTCGAAGTTTGGTTAATTTAGCATAAATTAATCATATGTTTCATGATCTTTTTGAAGAAAACATAGATACTGACAGTATATCTACCCATCGAACAGTTGCAAGAAGATAACCATGATCCAGAAATTCCCAATTCAAGGAAATTCTAGAAATTCAACGAAGATAACTAACAGAGTCAGTTATAAGTCTGAACTATTATGGAACTAGCGAGAGCCCGTGCATACTGCACGGATGCTTTCTTCCTGTAAAGTTGGGTGTGGGTGTGCATATAGTTGAAGGCAATACACACACCCACACCCAAGCAATCAAACATGTTCTTTTTCGTTGTGCTATCGATTCTGGATTTTCGGTCAATTCATGATCTATCATTCGATAGAGGTATCGTTCAATAGTTGCCAGCGCTCGTCGATGTTGACGGCTCAATTTCAAATAGGTACGGTATAGATTACTTGGCATGTAGAAAGCCATTTCGAATGCATTCAAAAAATCTCGTAATGCTAGGGTGAGCTCATTCTTTCCTGTCTCATCGTAGCCATCGAGCGTCTCCAAATCATAGTTAAATGCAATTAATCCAAAGATCGCGAGTAGAAGATTTCGGCATTGTTGGGGAATGTTTATATGGACGTGTTGAGCGGGACTAACGCGCCAATTAGTCAATAGTTTGTCCGTGCAATCAACAATTAAGTCGAAATTGGAGATAATCTTGCCACGACGAAACAATGGTAGGATCAGCGCGGCGTGTCGTTTGTATCTTGCACCTAAATATAACTATAGATGAGTTTTCAATAAGAAGAGTGGAATTAACCTTTGAGACTAATGAGTCCGCCTGGGAGGAGGACACCGAATTGTGAAACACTAATATCACCTTGATCGTAAATATGTCGATGAGTCAAAATGTGCTGCACATCATCGATGTTACTCACGACAATAAGACGTCAAGGACCGAGCCAAATTTGAAAAATATCACCAAAACGATCTTTAAATGATAAGAAGACTTGAGCAAGAGATTTGCCATCGAACAATATACCCGGGTGCGGGCGTGGGTGGGTGTGGGTGTGGGCGTGGGTGTGGGTATGGGTGTGCGTGTTGATGAAAAGGACACCCACACCTACTCACCACACCCACACTCACACCCACACCCCACACTCACACCCACACCCCACACTCACACCCACACCCACGCCCACACCCACACCCACACCCACACCCACACCCACACCCACACCCACACCCGCACCCACACCCACACCCCACCCACACCCACACCCACACCCGCAACGCGACAGTGAGGTATGTGACGGATCCACTGGTCATACACTCACTGCTGTGAGGGTTCGCTCTCTGTATTATCATTCTCTTCTTTCTGTTCTTCTTATTCTCTTTCTCTATCGCACGCGTGTATAAATAGCACTGTTCGCATATTGTTCTTTAGTCATTTGGTGAGTCAGCCACGTTTGGCTCATTTTCTCTCTCTTCCTTCCTTTTACTGTTCCCCCTTCTTAGATGCATAGAATAAATGGGTAAAATCCCAAATTTTGCTGCAGTATGATTTTAAAATCTCTAGAAACTTTTCAGCGTGTTCTGCGTACTGTTTGGAGGCTATAGCAGTATCTACACCACCGACGACAGATCGCTGACATTAACGATTATCGAGACTTCCTGAGTGGCTCATAAGATGACACTTTATAGTCTAATTGGTCGAAAAATATCCGCGACAGATTCCTTACGCTTCATCGACAATCTGACGTAAATGTCCTATCTACATTTAAAAATAAATCACTTATCACTTGCTGATGAGAGGTAGGTAGTGAAGATTATCATACAACGTTAGATAATCAACACCATAACTAAGCGCTTTTGCTGCCATATAGAAAAATTTTCTATCTTACAAACGCTTACTGTCATTTTGCTAAGTGAAAGTGGAAGTAATAATGAATGTGGCACGATTACTCTGGACAGCTCTTGAAAAGTTATATATTCCACTTCTTGATAGCATCGAAAATGTAAAGAAACTATTCTTAGATAGACCTTAAAATTATAAGAGATACTTCATCATAGCTCTTGGAAACTTATGCAGATCACCTCTACATAGCGGTTAAAAAGTTATAGACAGCCTCAAATAGTACAACCTGAGCGACTGCAAGAAAAACACACTATAATCTAATCAGTCAAGAGAAGATCACGAAAGACTTATCGTAGGATCGTAAATTATGTGTCGCAAACGACCTGGCTTCAGTTAAATACAAATCACTTACCACTTACCTGGTAAGTACTACTTACCACTTACCTGGTAAGTACTACTTACCACTTACCTGGTAGGTGGTAAGCGGTACCACCTACCACCTACCAAGTAAGTGGTAAGTAGTATCACTTACCACTTACTGGTAAGTGGTAAGTGGTGAGGATTATCAAGCAAGAATAAATAATCAACAGCTAATGTAATCATTTGTTAGTGTTATATAGAGAAATTTTCAATGATGAAAACACTTACCACTTACCTGGTAAGTGGAAGTGGTAGTATGTGGTAAGTGTGACACCCCTAATTGCAACTACGACTGTGACAGTTCCATTTCAGTTCAGTTCTCGTGAACTGGTCCACTAGTTCATCCAAAAAAGAACTGGTGGTAATCTGACTTAATAAGTATTTTTTTAATCAATTAACATCAGTTCTTTTTTGGATGAACTGGTGGACCAGTTCAGTTCATGAGAACTGGAACTGGTCACCAGTTCCAGTTCATGTGAACTGAACTGATCGAATGGTTCCAGTTCGTGTGAACTGGAACTGCTCCACCAGTTCATATGAACTGTTGACCGGTTTTTTTGAACTTGAACTGTTGTGAAGGTGTCTAACTCTAGATGGATGTAGTTGTATATCACTGTGTTTATTTGAACTGAAACCGGTCTATTTATAGGCCGGGGCGACGAACGAATACATGAATACAAAAGAGAGAGAGTGATTACAAAGACCTGGAGAAGATAGTATTAACACTCAGAGAGTGAGTACAAAGACCTGGAGAAGATAGTACTAACACACAGAGAGAGTGATTACAAAGACCTGGAGAAGATTATAACACCACCTAACACTGTCACAGTCCTAATTGCAACACAAGCTCAATTCTTATTTCGCATTTTGTTAATTAATTCTTTTTTAACATTCGGCTCTCGAATGCCAATGCGATCGAAAATGGCCTCGAGGTCCACATTAGTCGTTGTTCTCCATGAGGGCGCGTGCATTATATCGCATAAGCTATTCCAAAACTTTCGAATACTGTTGATAAAGCTCGGTATATCACGGAATGTAACTGGTTTTTTCGACACGTTCGAGTCAATGGCATCCCAAACATCCATGGCTGACTCTTTTCGCAAGTTGGCATATTCGCATTCAAATCGACCACCTTTGGCAAAGCACGTGGCGACAATATCTTTAAATTTGAGGCCGTTTTCGACATAAATTGGCTTGTTATCTACCGCATATTTGCTCATGGGTTCTTCGTTCTCACATCCAGTAACGATACACAAAGATGGCACCAGATTTTGCGTCAGCAGTGTGACAAATAACTCATAATGGTCCATGTCGGAAAGCAGAATGGTGCCAATTCGTTTTACATAGATCAGCATGTTAAAGCCTTCTTGAGTTTTTCTCAACAACTCGACAATGTTGTTTTTTGCGTTCTCAGATATAACTCTGCCCTTCTGCGTCTCATCGAGTCCAGCAGTATCATAAAACTGGTATGACATGCCCTTATAGACTGTTATTTCAGATTTCTCCGATTGAAACGTACAGCCTCTCCCACTATTGTCGGTGCGACCATGCGCACCACATAGTTCGTTTACCATACTCGTTTTACCAGCGTTCGACGAGCCAAATACCAAAATATGCTTGATTTCACTGCAAAAGGGATATGATAAGAGATGGATAGATATATCAAGCTTACATACTTTAAAACTTGCATGTCTAAGTAGTTATTCGAAAGGTAGTTTTAAACTGGAATCGATTCGTATGTCTGAACTCAATTATATCACGTATATGTATAATATTTACGTAGATCGCGTTAAGTTTTAGTATATCCAACTTATACTGTGTTAATTTGGAAAATGCCAAACAATATTATGCTTCTGTTGACATTAAAATCATATCACAATAACAAGAACGAAAGTATCTCCTGTGATAAGAATATTAGACCAAATTGAGTCATGATTGTTTCACCTGACGCAACCTTCGGCAAGGAAGAAAAAACCAAGATGCGGTGTAATCGTCATTGAAACAATACAAAGAACACCAAGCATCCCTGACAAGATTCTTTTGCTAAATGGTGATGTGAATTCTACCACGCGAATTCAAGTCAATATACTCACAGTGAAAGTGAAATCAGAATATCTATAAAAAAAGCCATTGGCATGGCCTTATTGACCAAGCGCATTATTTTAATTGGAGCATCGAATGTGGGCAAGACTAGTTTAGTGAATGAAGTGGCAAGATGTCATATGCCAACCAACAATTCAGCTCGAAGATGTACTGTGGATTTAAATTCTTGTGTCCCAGTATATCACGGAAAATTTGCATACCAGTTTATCGATACGACTGGTTTTTGTGATATAAATTGCGGTGCAGTCACGCCCAATCACGTCTCTGCCGCGGTTGATCAATTATTATTGCACTCGCAAGCGGGTTTGCATCTGATTATATTTGTCACCCGACAAGGCACAATTCTTCAGTCCGCGAAGGATATCTATGACCTAGTATATAAATACATATGCGAAAGTCATGTGCCCGCAGTCTGTGTCGTGACTGGATGCGAAAACGAAGATCCAATGGACAAGTGGGTCAGAGGTAACAAAAATCTTTTCGATGAGAATGATATGCATTTCGAAGAGTTGTTGGGTTGTTGTTTCGGCACAGGTGGCCGATTCGAGTCACATTTTAAACCGCTGCGCGAACAATCAGCCAAAAGCGTATGGGATGCCATCGAAAAGATATGTGAAAAGCACCATGATAGATTGTCTGGCTTAAATGCATGTGACAGAGGTCGATGGTCTGCACTGGTTCGACACCGCTTGAAAGAACTATTTTCAGGCAATAAACCATTAAGGCCTGTCATAAATCCGTTGGCTGCTAATCATCCGCTACCGGAGAAACAAAGAGATCCAATTTCATCACCTCCACCATTTACTTATCCATCCTCAAGTTCTCCACCATATCCCTCAAGTTATCCACCAGCTCCAGCAAACTATCCTCCACCAACTCCAACGAACTATCCTTCATCACCTTCGACGAGCTATCCTCCACCAACTCCAACGAACTATCCTTCATCACCTTCGACGAACTATCCTCCACCAACTTCAACGAACTATCCTTCATCACCTTCGACGAACTATCATCTAGCGCCGTCGTTTTCATTTCCAACACAAATAGGACAACTTAGTGGTGGCGCCATAGTAAATTTTATCTCTCATCTTTGGGGCGGTGGTCGGTACACCGACAGTTGAGCCTGCAACGATTGAGCCACGACAGTTGAGCCCCGACATTCGAGTCTCCCGATACTTGAGTTCCCGACAGTTGAGCCCCAGACATTTGAGCCTCCCGAGAGTAGAGTCCCGACATTTGAGCCCGCCCCCCCCCGCCTTATCAGTACACACCCTCAGTTGCATCTGTACTCTCATCCTCATTCACACCTTCATTTGCACCCCCATCTGCACCTTATTTGCACCCTCACTCTGACTCTGACTCTCATTCTTGATCACACGTTACTCTCACTCTGAGGGGCTACCGGGATTTATTTTTTTGGGATTTATTTTTTATAGAGGACCTATTTATTAACTGAGGATTTATTGGGATTTATTAGCTGTATCAGTATTTCAGCGCACCCTCATCCTTGTCCTTGCTCCAACGCTCACCCTCAATAAGCCTTCGCCCTCACCCTCACTAAGCTCTCATCTTCAGGACTTATGCAGGATTTATATCAAAATGTATGAGTATTTATTAAAAAATCCCAATAAATCAGAAGAAAAACCAATCCCGGTAGAGTCAATTTCCCTAATAACGACGGGAAAATGTTCACTCATTTTGTTTGACCTCGTTCACAGTCATTTTACACCCGATTGAAAATATTTTGATATTTGGATAAACCTTGGATTCTCCTCTTTCGAATGATATGATCACAGCCTTTCTACATCATACTGCAGTGAAGAAATCAGCGGTCCACGATCAAGGACTCCATCCGTCGTTATTAGGGAAATTGACTCTACCTACTGCTCACTCTTTATCATACTGAACAATGTATATAAATTTTATCATAGATTTTGATAAAAGTTACTATGGAAGGCTCAAATGTTGGGGCTCTACTGTCGGGAGCTCAACTGTCGAGATGCTCAAATGTCGGGAGGCTCAAATGTCTGAGGCTCATCTGTGGGGAGCTCAAGTGTCGCGAGGCTCAAATGTCGGGGCTCAACTGTCGTGTCACGGAGTTTGAAAAAAATAAAGATCTATCACGACGCGTTTCGGCTTAATTTCAAAGTCTCATCAGGTGGTTTAGTAAAATCTGCATAGATTGAAATAAAATTTGCCTAAAATTAAATCGCAAGTCAAATAGATCGACTTCCAATATTAATTTTAAATAAATCCTTTCAAAGAGCAGCAGATAGTCTTTAAGAGAGAGTCCACGACTATACCGAGAATTTTCCTACTATGCTGTCATTTGAAAACTATTGATCTACCTTTTTGATTAGTACAAATGAAAGAGTATGCTAAGAAACTTCTAAATTCAAAATTGTAGCCTTTCCTGACTGATCTTTAACACTTGTACTACCAACCAGGGTCGGGTGTGGGTGTGGGTGTGGGTGGGTGTGGGTGTGGGTG